AAAAAAGATTATGAAAAAATTAATTATTATATAATAATTAAATACCTTCGCAAAACACAATCCAATTGTGCCAGTACCACAGCAAACATCGACAACCGTAGTGTCCTTTTGTGGATTTGCAATTTCAATTGCCGATTTATATAAAACTTCTGCCCCTAAAGTATTAATTTGAAAGAAAGCCTGCGGAGAAATGCGAAACTTTAATCCCAAAATGTTTTCGTAAATATGCGTTTCTCCATACAAATGTTGTGGTAATGAAACATCATCTTGCGATTTCCTTAAAAGAGTAAAAATCATTAAAAATTCACATAGAACAATAAAACTCTTTTAACTCACTTTTTGACAATAGCCTCATAGTAAAGTGAAGTAATTTTAAGTTCTTTACCAGGTCCGACCGAAAAGAAATCGACCAAATCTTTCTTGAATTTCTCAATTTCTTCTTCTGAGAGGTCTTGGGGGTGAATACCAACTACCAGCATTAAATGATCTGCAGCACAACGTACTGTGAGTTGCCTAAAGTTACCAGTTTGAAGTTCAGGATTGAATACTTTTAACTTAGATGAACGAACAAACTCTTGAAAAACCTAAAGATTAATTTTTCATTTAATTTTCTCAATTGTATAACTTTAGTAACTCAGGATCACACTTGTGGCTAGCTTCTAACAAATTAATGGAACATGTGATTGAAATTTCATTTTTAAAGCATTTCAAGTGTTCATTTAACCTAATATTAAATAAGCCACCTCTTTGTCCAATGTAGCTATGAATGATTAATGATAACTAGAGAAAGTTAAACAAAAATGGTTAATACTTTTGCAGATTTCTTCATGGATTCAGGAATGTGGTTTAAATTATCCAAAGGAGCTACACCAGTTACTCCAGTAGCATAACTACCTATTCTAAAACCCACTGTAGGCAATGAAGTTTCTTGATCAATGCCAATTGTAAATTCACATTTATTTCGATATCTGATGAATAAATAATTGAATAACAAAATGACCCACCAAAAATAAAAAGATAATTTCTTACCCTATAATAGTGTTTGAATGTCTTACATTATGCATTTCACAAATTAGACCATTGTTACACTCTTTTTGCTTTTTAATCCAGTCTCTGAGGGATGAATTTTGATGGAATAAATTATTTCCTAATTTCAATAACACCTGACGAATACTTTCCTGTTTCTGTTGTAACTAAAAGTTTGTAGGATAATTGTGGAAATTCGTAATAAAAGAAACTAACAAATAAATACCTGCTCTTCATAAGGTACATTCCATAAAGGAATAACAGATGCTTTCAAACGTTCTTCCTGTGTTTGTTCATCTGTTTTAAACTTCTTAGGAGCATTCTCACAAGCTTGGTCATCTCTACGTTTTTTCACCAAAGGATCAGGAGCTGGTTTGGCTTTCTGTATGATATAAATGTACTTTACCTCATAATTTATTTAATTGTAGTAGTAAATATTACATAAGCTGAAAGTTCTTTTCCTTTCCATTTAAATTTATTGATTATTTTAATAGCATTTTCACGATCTTCTTCGCTTCTAAAGCAGACAAAAATATATGGGCTATTTCGTCTTGGTATTTTAACTTTATTAGAGCCCAACTTCAATTTCTCATTAACAAGTTTCTTAAATTCCTAATTAATAAACTTCATTAAAACAATAAATCCAAACTGGTATCAACAACTTACATTGATTCCATAAAACTTTGGTAAATTTTTGATTTCGATTTTAAATTTTTCGGAGGAAAACTCTTCTCTATTTAAATACGCATAGGGATTGGTTTCTTCACAGTTGTCTGTCTCATTTATTGTGGATACAGCGGAGGGTGCACCTACACTTTCATCATTTTCCATTTTAATTTAATATTTAAAACTGATCAGTAATTGATGTACTATTCTTATTCTCGTCATATATATATATTTTAAATTACGTTGTAACATTAATATTAAAAATATTTTAAGTCATATACAGAAAAACAATTACAAAACACATAACCCTAAATTTTTTAAAAATTAGCACGTGTAAGTATATTGCCCATAGATAATAGTATGGCATAGATTGTATATGGTGTATTAGGTAGGTAGTGCCCATAGATACAAGAGATTTATGGTAGTGCCTATAATCCATGAAAAGTGTAAGAAAATATATTAAGTTGTTGAATTAAACTTTAGTGTAAGCTTCTTTCTATTCATGTCATAAATACAAATTTGGTATTATTATTAAACTTCAATACTTAATTTGATATTATATTTCTAGGCATTGATTTTAAAACACAGACTCGGCTGATCGCGACAGGTGGATAGGGTGAGAAGGGCTCCTAGCCAACCTCTTCTTGGGCAACTTGTCCAGAATGTTCAAGAGACGAATAAAATCGGGACGATCGCCTGGACGATATGACCAACACAACATTAAGATGTCCTAAAACAATGTAAATTACATTTACTTCGGGGTA